TGGTGGTGGTAGTTGTAGCGGCTGTCGTGGTGGTGGGCGTAGTGGTGGTAGTTGTAGCGGCTGTCGTGGTGGTGGGCGTAGTGGTGGTAGTTGTAGCGGCTGTCGTGGTGGTGGGCGTAGTGGTGGGCGTAGTGGTGGTAGTTATAGCGGCTGCCGTAGTGGTGAGCGTAGTGGTGGTAGTTGTAGCGGCTGTCGTAGTGGTGGTGTATGTTTTATCAGGACATTGCTGAAGGATATCAGGGACATCTACAGGTGTACTGGCTGTACAGGCTGTGAGGATGTCTACAGTTGTTGTACGGCGGGCGGGTGCGGTGAAGGTATCTGCAGGTGCGGTGTCAGTCGCTGTAGGTTTTGCCACTCTGAGGATAGCAAGGACGTACAAAATATACGTTAATAATACGTCACAAGCTTCAGACGTATGACGGTTGCTGTAACGTTTGTTAAATTGCTAATGAAACATTTCGAACCCTTCAGACTTGGGTGTACTCGAATTTAATATGCTAATCAAATATTTCTAACCCTTCAGATATGTTCATTTAATAATTTCTCGTATATTTACTGACCTGGGCAGAATTTTCGGAGTCCGTCCTAGCCGTGACAGCTCCATGGTCTTTCCGTGCCCAGGATTGACGCCGAGAAGATTCAGCGTTTCCTTCTCGTCCATTTGACCCTGTCGAGAACAAGGAAGGTGAAAAAATGATTTTATATAAATACCTTCCTCCTTTGGTGATACACAGTAAATTGCAGTAAAAAGTTCCGTGAAATGATATTAGAATATTCATTAAATATTTATATTTATGTATTTACATTTTATAATTAAAACGACAAAAGCTTGTGGCAATTCAATTAAACATGTGACAAAGTTCATGCAGGTATTCTAGCAATTTAATGTGTATTTTAAGCTTCAATAAGCCTGAAAATGCATCGAATACTCAAGTTTTGGCAGGTAAAGATTATATTAAAATGTATGTAAGAAGCGTGTCGACGTGTTTTTTAAGCACGACCATTTATTTTTAATATTTGAGTTAGTAAATTATTATTATTTTAATTATTTTACCCGAATTTCATCGTTCCGATTTACGATGACTCTGGCAGCGACGAAGCAGAACAAGGAACTCAATATGATGGACCGCATGACGGCAACACTGATGATGGACCGCATGACGGCAACACTGATGCTGGCTTTGATACTTCTTCAAATTCGAATTCCTGTAAAGGTGCGAGTGTAAATTCCATCATGTTACATATTCAACAAATAAGTTTACACACACAATATTAGACTCCAAAATGCTGTCGGCCTGCTTGCGGTTGGAGCGCGGCCCGGATACGGGCCCAAATCGACAGCAAATCTTTCCCCGTACCCCGAAAGGGGGAGCCAAAGCCCATGTTTTTTGGTGCTGCCGGCCTGCGGCTCCCCGCGTGTGGTCGGCGTCTCTGTTGCTACTAGCGGGGGATGTCGAGGAGAACCCGGGTCCGACTGGGATGTGCGACATATGCAATAGACAAATCACAAAACGCCTAATATACTAATGAAACATTTCTAGCCCTTCAGACATATTCATTTGATTTCTCACATATTTACTGACTTGGGCAGAATTTTCGCAGTCCGCCCTGGCCGTGACAGCCCCATGGTCTTTCCGTGCCCAGGATTGACGCCGAGAAGATTCAGCGTTTCCTTCTTGTCCATTTGACCCTGTCGAGAACAAGGAAGGTGAAAAAATGATTTTATATAAATAGTTTCCTCCTTTGGCGATACACAGTAAACTGCAGTAAAAAGTTCCGTGAAATGAAATTAGAATAATTAACAATATAACAAGAACGAAAGCATTGTGGTAATTCAATTAAACAAGAAACAAAGTTCATGTAGGTATTCTAGTAATTTAATGTGTATTTTATGCTTCAATAAACCTGAAAATGCATCGAATACTCAAGTTTTGGCAAGTAAAGATTATATTAAAATGGATGTAAGAATCGTGTCGACGTGTTTTTTAAGCACGGCCATTTATTTTTAATATTTGAGTTAGTAAACTATTATTATTTTAATTATTTTACCCGAGTTTCATCGTCCCGATGTACGAGGACTCTGGCAGCGACGAGGCAGAACAAGGAACCAAATATGATGGACCGCATGACGGCAACACTGATGATGGACCGCATGACGGCAACACTGATGCTGGCTTTGATACTTCTCCAAATTCAATTCCCTGTAAAAGTGGAAGTGTAAATTCCATCAGGTCACATATTCAACAAATATGTTAGAACACACAATTCTAAAATTCGAAACATGTATGAAAACACCAAGTTTCTCTTCTTCTGGGGCCGGATTGTTATAACATCGCTAAGTACACGTAACTTTCTGAACTTACGTACAAGAATGTACGTAATTCGTAAGTAGTCAGATTATCAGCATTATCAAACTCACACACACAAGACTTGTCTAAAATGGGATTATCAAAACCATGGATCTAAACAGCCAGTCAGAGGCTCACTTACAATCCTTATTTACATCGTGTCCCACGCTCTCAAGCTGCAATGTTATGAAATTTCAAAGTTTTATTTGTTATTAACTCTTTTAAACACTTTCACTGCAAAGTTTTGCCCATAAATGCAATAACTGGATAGCAAATCACTTGAATAATGGTAAATGTGACTTAATGAGCGAGATAGTAATTATTAACATTATAAAATAAGAGGACCATCTGTTTTGACTGAATAAGAGCTTTATAGTGTCATGTGGTTTATACCGCGAAAAGAGGTAAACATAGTACGAATTAATATAATTTCTAGTTGTCAGCTTCTCGAAAAAAATGCATTTGAAAGCTGGCAAGCTTACATAACTCAATTTTTTGTGGTAACAAATAATTTGTTATAAGCTTTATTCTATTTCATTTCCAATTTTTATTAAAAATTCAATATTACAGTATATGATTAACAAGTGTGGTTTCTGTGATAATGTATTTAAATTTACAGAATAGCCAAAAAGTTGTCAGTTTTCCTGTCATTCTTCCACTGCCATCAATGTCACTATAACCCCACATCACTTAAGTCGCCAGCCTTCTGAAGAAACGATATATTTTGTGAAAATTTCTAGCACAATCACAGCAGCTTCGCGGTCATCATGTGGCAATGGAACCCTACATATCCCAGTTATGACCAGTATTATTTGGTTCATTTCTTGCACAATCATAGCAGCTTCGCGGTCATCATGTGGCAATGGAACCATACATATCCCAGTTATGACCAGTATTATTTGGTTCATTTCTTGCACAATCATAGCAACTTCGCGGTCATCATGTGGCAATGGAACCATACATATCCCAGTTATGACCAGTATTATTTGGTTTTTAGCGTCGAGTGGCGATTCAAGCGCTGCAGTAGCTAATAAGTGGTGACTTTTGTATCATTGACAATAAATTTTTGCTGAACCCTTTTAGCCTGACTAAAGAAGAGTTATAAAATTTTTGTGTACATTTCAAGCGAAAATTTTCCCTTACAGTGAAATAAAACATTTAATCGGAATAAATACATGTTAATGATAAATAAATACATGTAAACTATATATGTATTACGATAATTAAAAATTTTATTGTAAATTTAATAAATGGCACCATCCCACTTGTCAAAACCAAATTTAAATGCTAGATGCTAAATGATTTATTCTTGCAGGCGTTCAGCACCCAATGGAGTTTATAGCAGCTCCATCCAAGATATTTCAACATTAATCTGTTCCATGGAACACCACGAATAAAAAATTGGGCTCGATTAGACAAGCAAAGACTTTATAAGAATCAGGTGTTCTAAAACAGTTGAAAGTCATAAAGTTTATTTTATATAAATTGAAAAATGGGTTAGTTGATTATCATCGAAAGTATGCAGTTATGTCCACACTCGTTTTTTAAAATACGAAAATAATCATTTAATGATCGTGTAACCATCGTAGAATTTATAAAAGCTTGTAATTTCGGGTAATTTGTTCATCAGGATATCGATGCAAGTTTAAAAAAAGACCGGAACATGCTTTTTATTAATAATTTCGATATTCTTTCAATGAGCCGAACAAAATTTCTTGCTGGTGCCGGGAGATCAAAAAGCCGGTTACTAAATGACATTTTAATGGATTCGCTTCGAAAATACAATTTTCATTATCAAGCTGGTGAAGGTTTTGCAACTCTTGAAAATGAACTTTGGAAATGACAGTTAGTAGTATCGATGGTATAGTGGATACAATTTGAAATCCAATCTTAAAATTACTCTGAAAATAAAATGACATTTGAAATGTCATTTGGTAACCGGCTTTTTGATCTCCCGGCGCCAGCAAGAAATTTTGTTAGACTCATTGAAAAAACGAATAAGAAAATTATGAAAAAAGCATTTAATCAAACTTGCATAAGAGAATAGCTTCTGCCGAATTACACCAGTATATATACAGTATCTAACTGCTTTGACACCTCTTAGTCTCAAGAACTTATATCTCAATTTTTTCATAAAGTGGAGGGAATGCTTAATGAATTAGTTATGAATAAATAATAGAGTAGTAATAACATTTAAAATATTACTGCGAAGTGTGAACCTCATAACATACTATTAAATAGATTTGCATTGTTCCACTTGAGTCACTTGAGTAAATAAATATATTTTTATGTAATTGATAATATTCAGAACAAATAAAGTAGTTGAACTTGAGGATACGACAAATTCAAGGCAGATGATGTGACGGGAAAATTTATATATTATGAAACTATTATACTGAATGTTGCATTTTGCAAACTGTACATTTACATGTAAAGTTATCCATGCATTAACCTAATTTATGACAGCTTATTTATGTAACTACAAGCTAAAAAAAAGCGTAGAGCAGTCATTAATTATTTCATAATTGAGTCCTCAATTAAGTTTTTAAAATAGTATTCAAGAATATATCTATATATAATACTCTAGTACTGGACTGATTGTAAACTGCTGACATGAAGAAATCAGCAATTGTTATAGCGTCTTGTCCCAGTAAACATTGTATTGCAATATTCATTAATAATGTTTTTTTTTCTTAGGACATCTGCGAAATAAAAAATTGCATAAACACATGACTAATATTCCTTAGAAATTAAAGATGATAATTTTAATTTCTATATCTTTTTTCTTGATAATAATTAGAGGATTTTTCTAGGTGGCCATCCTAGAGTCAAGACACTTGTATGAATTAGAGACCGTGAGTTTGTGTAACTTCGAGGCAAAATTACACATCATTTTGCATCGAACATGCATATGGATATAATTTTAGTGAATGATCACAAAACTCTAAAATTTGAAGATTAGCATTTGCTTGCAATGTATGACGTAAATGAAAAGTCACATGCCCCTGGCATAAACACGATCAATTTTTTTCCCTAATAGCACTAGATATATGTCATTTGTTAAAGTACAAACAGAAATCTTTCTTAATTCACAGTTTTATTAGTGACATTATAAGTACCAATCGCTTCACCCTCTAAAAAGTTGTTCCTAACTCCACTTACGCCACCTCCTAGCTGTCGTATACAGTTAAGTACAACTTATTGATTTAACTTTGCAAAGAAATATTTTCTAAAAGCGACGTTTCGAAGTACGTCTACTTCGCAATACATGCGCTTTGCGTAAGTGGTTACGTGTACTTTGCGATGTTCTGATAATTCGGCCCTTGGTCGTCAAGCAATAGCCAGAGTCAAATTTCTATGTTCCCACTCGGCTCTGGTATTCGAAATTTTAGGCATTTTTCACAGCATGATCACCAATAGTGGTCTACTCACCGTGAGCGTCAAAAGAGAAGTGATAGAAGATACTTCAAAAAATGAAGGCTCAGCTAGCCGGAACCTCCGCATGAACTGCCACAGGTACCTCCAGCTGCAGAAGTAATTAATTAGGCAAGTGTGATAGAAACCTTATGTGAATACATCAGCTGCATCGTTACAGCCAAAGCCTCGTGAAATTTAGGACATTTTTTAAAACTTTTCGAAAGCGTTCGATTTTATGCACGCTCACCGAACGATATGCCTTAGTGGTTGCCAGCTCCTCTGTACCTGCCGAACATAACTATATCATTTTAAAATTCATTAACTTGGTATGAATGGTAGGAATGCTTCAGTTTTTCCTTAGAAAAGGTTTAACCTTGTACAATAATATGTGAGAGCTTCTGACAGACATTCTTAATCAATCACTTTTGATAATTATTACTATTATCATGCTTAGTTAAGTTCCAAAAATATTCATATGAATGAATCTTTGATTATGCAGCAACCCATAAGTCTACCAAATTCCTTTTTTCTTCCATATCTTCTCAAGCTAGAATGTGAGCAGTTTTGTTTTGCGTGATAATTCCTTTGGCCGTATTTTATTTCCAGATTATTGATTAATTAAATAATTTTTTAATTTATCGTTTCTCCTGTTTTTTTCACAATAGTTTTCAACCGTGCATTATCCTGCAACCCTATTTCTCAATATAACGGAAATCTTTTCACGTTGCACAGAGGCGGAGGACCACGAAAATTTTACGGCCTCACCTGCGGCCGGTCTCGCGGTCGGTCTCCCCAAATTCAGTGAACAATGAATATCTCTCAAAGTAATGAACGCAGCTCAATGAAACTTGATACACGTATCTATTAGGACGTGGCGATGATGTTTAGCTCGTGAAAAAAATTTAAATTTCGGCTTCATTCGTGAGTTATATGACAATACGGGCCGAAATTCGCAGCGAACACGACATTTCTTCCAATGTACTGAACAGATTTGAACAAAACTTTGAATGTACAAACCTAACCCCCCCCCGACGACGATGTTTAGCTCGTGAACATTTTTAGAATTTGCTTTTGTTCGCGATTTTTTCCCCCTCATTCGTGATTTAAATAGCAATGTGTGCTTGAATTCGCAGTGAACAAAAAATGTATTCTAAAATGATGAACAGATTTGAACTAAACTTTGTTATTTGTATATACAAACTTAACCTCCAAACAGTGATGCTTAGCTCGTGACAAAGTTTTCGATTTTGCCTTCGTTCGCGAGTTATACGGACATTTATCAGGCTAATTTTTAAATTTGCATTGACCAAGAGCCGTATTCGTATAGCGGTTATAATAATAATAATAATATTAATAATAATAATAATAATAGCGGTTTCAGCGTTTATTATTCCATAGGCCTTTC